CAGCCTTTAAAATATTTATACACATAAGGGGAAACTAATGAACCCACTGTGTTTTTGTCATATCCGGAAATTGTATCAACTTCATCCGGAACTTTTCTACAGGAGGTGTTTAGCACTTTGCGTTACAGCATCTCGCTTTGCACGTATGCGAGTTCTGCCTATTTAATTTACAAGTGCCGTAACGAGTATTATTATTATTTAACAGAAATTTATTATGACACCGACAACTAATACCAAAATTATATCGTATTATATAATGTTCAATAGAGTTTGACCTTATTTAAGGATTTAATCGCATTAACTACTCTGTTTTCCTTTATATTCATAGCTCAAGCACAGGGTGAGTCTAAACTCTATATTTTTAAATACAGATAAAACTTTAACAATAGTCTTTAATGTGTCTTAAAACATTTGGGAAATTAATGAGCTCACTGTATTTTTGTCGTTTCCAATAATTGTTTCGATTTATTCTGAATTCTTCTTCAAGGGGTATAAATATTTACGAGTATTATTATTATTTAACGGATATTTATTATGATACTGACTACTAATACCAAAATTATGTTGTATAATATATTTTGCAATGAAGTTTGACCTTACTGAAATGAGTGTAGACTTTATATTTTTAGATACAAATAAAACTTTAATAACAGCCGCTAATATGCCTATATGCATACGGCAAATTAATGAACTCACTGTGTTTTTGTCAATTGTTTCTACCTCATCCGGAAGTCACCTTCAGGAGGAGTTTAGGGCTTTGTGTCTTGCCTCGCACGTGTGCTAGTTTCACGTGTTTGTTTAACAAATGCAATAAATAATATAAACGAGTATCATTATTATATAACGAATATTTATTATGATACTTACACTTAATATCAAAATTATACCGTATTGTACAGTTTGCAATGCAGTTTAACCTTATTTAAAGGTTTAATCATATAAACTATTCTGTTTTTTTTTTCTGTTCATAGCTGAAGCACAAGGTGAGTTTAGACCTTTCATATTTAAATACAAATGAATTTTAATAACACAAAAAATTCATATGTATAAATATTATATCATTCAACCTTTAATATGTCTATATACACACGGGAAACTAATGAACTCACTGTGTATTTATCGTTTCCAACAATATAGTCTGTTTTTAATTCTTACTTTACACTTAATTTTTATTTTTTTACTTTTTTTTATATTAAATTACTTATAATTTTTTGTACTAGATTATAATTTTTACATATTCTATATAATCATAAATGATACCGTTTTTGGAAGAAAAGTGCATTTAATCCATCTAGCCATTAGGAACTATTCATGTTATGTAATACCGTTTTTGTGATGAAGTATTTGTTCAATATTAGTGTTAGGAATAAAATACCATTTTAATCAACTTAAACAATACAAAACGCAAAGTTAATACCATATGATTGCTATATTATCTAATAATCAGCCGTAATTAGAAATAATAGAAAATATAACTGAAAGTGGAACGTAGTGAGCAGATAGGAAACAGTGAGGTCTATCTTAACACAATATTATAAATGTGATTGTTTATTTGTTTGTTACTTATTTGCGCCTTAACGACTCAACGAATCTCCATG